TGTAATCAGGGGTTTGTATGTATCTTAGGGATACATACTAAAGAAGGTAAAATGAGGGATTTGTTTAAAATAAAACAAGATTGATAGATGGGACAAGTACGTGTTTATAACTGTAAGCATGAACAGACCTAATGCCATCCTCCATCTTCTGTTCCCATTCACCAGTTCTTCCCAATTCCACTTCCTGGGCAACAACTAATTTTATATATACCAATAAAGATACTTTGGTGTGATTAGTGATTGAGGTCTTAAATCTTGCAAATGGCCACTGAAGATACAAATATTGTCTTTTCCTTCCTGGAGCAAAGACAAGTGAAGAAAATCAAAGCTTCAAGGAAACAGCCTTAGGGAACTAAGGATCACAGCCTTCACTACCCTGATACCAGAAGATCTAGGTGGTGACTGGCAACCACTATCAACCACGCTGATCATAATCACAGTAGAATGTTCTGGACAGAGTGGTGGAAGAAAAATGTACAAGAAATTCGAAATCAAAATCATGAAAAAGACCAGACTTGCTTTTATAATAAAGACTAGTAGAACCTCCTTATATCCCTTTCAGACTTGGAACTGAACTCACTCCCAGGGATCATCTTGTAGCCAAACAATAAACAGGTTTAAAAAGGGAACAGTAGCATCCATGAGGAACATCAGCCTCAAAGCAATCAACCATACAGGCAGTAAGGGACAGGAAAGATGGACGAATGGAAATGGGAAACTCAGCAAGAAAGTGGGAAAAATTCATTAAGGGGATATTTAAGAGAAGGCTTCCAAAAGTTTGTAGAAAATTGAAATTAATTACTCCTGAGTGTTTTTGTGTACATCCCCAACTCCACCACCCCCCCCAAAAAAAACAGGGAATAGTAGCAAATAATGTTGAATGATGATGCATGGAGGAGATTGTAATCTTTGCAATGAAACAATGGTGTAAAGCTGATGTTATTCCATGTAAACTATCACTCAGTTTACCAAAAAAAGTAAAATATATAGAGATCATATATACTAATAAAAAATTAACATTTTTAAAAAATGGAATTAAGATAATGATATTTCCCACAAAGTTTGAAATTCCCTCATACACTAGAATGAGTCAAAAATTACCTGCATTCTGGTTATATTAAATAAAACACACATCCATGAATGATGACAACATTGAACGTGCACATGAAATGATTCTGTCATATAGATGAGTGACAGTGGATTATGTGGCACATCATTTGCAAATCAGCCATGGTTATGAAATAATCCACAACACACTTAGGTTTCAGAAAGTTGTGCAAGATAGGCACCAAAATAACTCACAGAAGCGTTTGGACATCTGCAAACAAAATTTGGGCTGATCCTCAAAGATAAAAGTTTCTTACAAAAAATCTTTTAACTGGTAACAAAACATGAATTCATCACTATGAATCTGAGAGTAAATGGTAGAGTATAGAAGGGAAACATCCTCAGTTGCCAACCAAGAGAAAGCTCAAAAGTTAACCATTAGCTGGAAAATTGATGTTTACAGTTTTCAGGGATTCTCAAGGGCCAGTATTGGAACACTATCAGAAAAAAGGTTCAACAATCAACAGTGCTCACTACAATCGCTCACTTCTAATTAAGCACAGAGGACTGCTATCCAAGAGCATTGTGATCTTGCATGACAGTGCATATCTTCATACCTCTGCCCACACTGTTGACACTGAAAAAACTTCATTTTGAGGTGTTAAAACATCCTCCTTATGGTCCTAATCTCGCTCCATTGGATTTTCATCTGTTTGGTCCCCTGAAAGCAGCCCTTCAAGAATGAAGATTCACCTTGGATGAAGATGTGAATTACAGGTGCATTCATATCTCATAGCTCAGTCTAAAAAGATTTTTATAAGAGAATATGAAAGCTTGTTGACCGATGGACAATGTATTGAAAAGCAAGGTTATGTCAGAAATTCTTGTATTTATCTTTTTTTAAAGTTGATTACAATACTATAGCCAGAGTATGGATAATTTTTGGATCAACGTCAAAATTGTTGAATGGAATCTAATTTGTTCTAAACTTTTACACAAACCACAATAAAATGCTCCAAAAGTTTTTTTTTGTTTTTTTTTGCCATACCGTTTGTAATAGGAAATTTTTAGAGAAGGGAAAGACCTAAAACCTAAATAAACTCTTGGTTGTTAGTTCCTGTTACATTGGCTCAGATTCATCCGGTGGCATCGTCATGATTTATTGCTATGTTTGAGTCCATTGTTGTATCTAAATTGTCAGTCCATCTCACTAAAAGTTTCCTAGTTTCTGCTGACCTCCTACTTTGATGTCTTTTTCTAAGACTTTTTTTTTGTGTTCTTGACAGCCCACTGTATAGTCAGTATTCTTCACCACACCATAGTTTGTTTGGGTTTTTTGTTTTTTGTTTTCATCTAACTAGTAGTCATACTTTATTAATGATAGAAGCAGTACATATTTCAATCCAATTGCAGTTAACTCTTCTGAACACCAAAGAAAGTCCTTGTTTTCAGATGGTTAACATTGTTAATAACATAATGTCATATACAGTGTCATTACTGTTGTTCGTCGGGGCTGGGGCTGCCTTTGCCCTTGATACATTTGCTGGTGACATGACCAATTTGATGTCCTTAACTTCCACACCTGTTTCATCAGTCTCTTCCTTTTCACTTTCCTCTTGCACAGTTGGAGTTTCTGTGTTTTCCTGAATGTTTTAGACAGCTTCACATTAAGCTTTAAATTTTTCAGCAGCTGCTGTGCTTGCTGAGATCAATCCTTGATTTGGGCTTCTCCAAAAACTATATAGATATCTGAAGCTGGGCTCTTGCAGACATCTGACTTTGTGGTGACAAAAATTATATTCTTAGATTTCCAGATAGTGACTCTAATAACCCCTGTGACTTGTCAAAGACCCTGTATGAACACAGCCTTCATGCCTTCTTTTCACTTCGACTTTATTTAACTTTACTGACTGGTTCTTCATCAAATTCAGCTGCTGTCACCAACTGGGTTTGTTGTGTGGTTGCCTATTTGGCATCCTGTTCCTTGAGCTCTCATACTGACTTATCACTGTTAGATTCTGTTCCATACCCTGTCTCAGGTTGGGGCTGTGGCTTCACCGGACATTTTGTACAGCGAATGCAGAACCAAGATGGCGGCAGAAAGAGAGTGAGCGAGAACGTGACCCACACCATAGTTTTAATTCATCAGATCATCTGTCATCTTGATTCTGTTTACCTTTCATTTACACTTGAGACAGTTGAAAACATCATGATGAGTTAGACACAATATAGCCATCAAAGTGATATTTTTGCTTTAAAATTTTTAAAGAGGTCTTTTGAAGATTTATACAGTACATCATTGGATTTCTTTTAAATTTCTTAGGCATGGATTGTTGGTCCAAGCAGAGTGAAATGATTGACAACTTAAGTTTCTTCCTAATTTATCATGATATTGTTTATTGGTCCAGTTGCCAGGATTCCCATTTTCTTGATCTCAGGTGTAATCCATACTGAAGGTTGTAGTGTTTGGCCTGCTTTAGTAAGTGCTTCAAGTTGTCTTCATTATCAGAAAGCAGGCTTGGGTCATTTACATATTGTAGATTTCCTCTAATCCTGATGCTTCATTCTTTTTCATGTAGTCTATCTTCTCGGAATATTTGTTTAGCATACAGACTAAATAAGTAAAATGAAATGATATAACCTTGTTGCAAAGCTTTTTAGTTCTGAGCTACACAGTATCCCTTTTGTCCTGTTTGAATGGCTTCTCTTGATCCATGTGCAGATTCTATATAAGTAAAATTAAGTGTTCTGAAATTCCAATGCTACGTAATGTTCTCCAGAGTTTGTTACAACCCTATAAACCCAACCCATTGCCATCAAGTAGAATTCTAACTCTTAGAGTGACCTGTGGACACCTGTGGACAGAGTGAAGCTGCCCTGTAGGATTTCCAAGGTTGTACGTCTTCATGGAAGCACACTGCTACACCTTGCTCCCAGAGTATCTGGTGAGTTCAAACCATCAACCTTTCTGTTAGCAGTCAAGCACTAAACCACTGTGCCACCAGGGCTCCTTTTACAACGTTGTTGTTGTAAGGTGCCATCGAGTTGGTACCAACTCATAGCGACCTGTGCACAGCAGAACGAAACACTGCCCGATCCTGGGCCAGCCTGACTATTGTTGGCACGCTTGCTGCCATTTGACTAGAATATGGTTATATTAGAACACATACTAATGGATTCTTCATGAAACCATTTAAAATAATCACTGTTGTGAAGACTATAGCCATATTAAATCAAGATTGTTGTTAGTTGCTGTTGAGTTGACACCAACTCATGGTAACACCATTTGTGTAGAGTAGAGCTGTTCCATGATGTCTCAGGAGACCTGCTGTTGTGCTGTAGGATTAGCACTAGACTGCTAACCTTAAGGTCATTGGTTCAAACCCACCAGTTGCTCCTCGGAAACCCTATACAGGGTAGCTATAAGTTGGAACCAACTCAACAGTATTTAACAACAACACAGGGTTTTCAAGGCCATGATCTTTTGGAAGTAGATTGCCAGGTCTTTCTAACACGGTATCTCTGCGCATACTCAGACTCTTAATCTTTCAGTTAGTGAATAGTCTGAGCTATGGGAGTATTTTGAGTGCTGGAGTTTAGGTGCTGTTGAACGCCTTAAAACACGAATGCTTTAGTTAGATTAATTTGGAGACTTTTTAGGGTGTGGGTTGGCAAAGGAGCAGCCTTAGAGTTAGAGAACTGTAGCTCTGCTGGCTAAGTAAGAAAGAACCTGATAAGTAGAGGGAACGGTGTTGGGGGAGGAGAACATGAAGAAGTAGAAGGAAAGAGAGAAGGCATGTCTCTGCCTAAAAGTTTATAAAGGTGAACTTAGGTCACCAGAGCTGTTTCTTCTTAGTACACTTGAGATTTCATGAGTTGCGTCATCTGGCCCTGTTGGATAGGTAGTATTCTCTTATCCCCCAGGAATGCTAACAATGGCCTTTTCTCCCTAGGGTTATGATAATTCAGAGAGCAGTGTTCGGAAAGCTTGTGTCTTCTGCCTGGTAGCTGTCCATGCGGTAATTGGGGATGAACTAAAACCACATCTCAGTCAACTCACTGGCAGTAAAGTAAGTAATGCTGTTTGCTTTAAAGATCGTGGCCATGGTATGTTCTTCAAATGTTAGTTTTGTGTCTGTGTTGAAGGTTAAATATAATTAGTCATGCTTGGAGTATCCAACTTGCCCTTATCCCCACTGTGCATTTTTTGTGTGTGTTTTTATTCAAACGTTTGCCACTCAAGTTAGCAGTTTGGTAGATATCTCTTAAGAAAAAATGCTTACAGCTCCTGGTAATGTATAGTGACCCACTGGACTCCTTTTCCCAGTCCAACCGAACACACAATTCCTTACTCCCAAGGACTGTTTAAGAATGAATAAACTGTTGTGATTTACATTTGTAGATTATTCCATTGTTGTTGTTGTGTGCTGTTGAGTTGGTTCCAACTCATAGCAACCCTGTATAGGGATTTTGAGGAGTGACTGGTGAGTTTGGACCACCAACCTTGCTGTTCAGACTGACCTTGAGCACTGCACTGCAGCATCACAATTACACAAAAACAACATTAAAAAAAATTTCCCCTTAAGAACTATAATCAAATATTGCCTTCCTTTTTTCTATTATTATTGTGATTCATATTAATATTCAGCTTTTATTTGACTTTATATGCTCAAATAAGTTTTTCTGAGTAGTCCGTAAGACTTAAGTAAATAAAAAGAATTTGTCTTTCTCATTTTTTTGTTAGGGCTGACAATCAACTATAGTTGTTGAATTATTACTTAAGAATGAATTTTCAGAAGACATTCCCTTTCATTTAAAGAGTTTCCCAGAATCCTAACAATTGTTATTACTATGATCAAATTTAATTTTTAAAAAAGCAAAAAGAAAGAAGAAAAATTTGCACCTTTTTTCAAGGAAAATTAGTTCAGGTACACACGTTCATTAAATACCTAAATAAGTAGTATAGCTAGATTAAAGCAATGATTCATAATTCAAAGGTTACAAGCAACTTTGAAATTTAGGTAATAATCTCTTCCCAAGAAAAACAATTATAGGCAGATATGATGTCTAGTTTCAGAGGGTTCTGCGAGCTCCCGAGTCCCATGGGATTCAGGTTAGAAACATTTGGATCAAAGAGTTATTAGCATTAGAAAACAAACCTTCAACATGGTAAATTCAAAGAAAAAAGCATCCCAGCTTTTGTGATAAACTCAAATTAGGTCTGGTAATCTAGAGATACCTGTTGAATTAAAATTCAGCATCTTATCTCAAGACCGTAGCAAAGTGGAAAAAATACTTTGAAATATTTTAGGTGAAAAAATGCAGAATTGATTATAATTTTCTAAAATGAGAATCTCATATGGGTACACACTGCAAATGGACTCAGAATAATCAAAACCATTGTTACGTTACAGTGGTAGTGGACAGTGGTCGAAGAGGATGGATCCTAGAACTCAAATACTGAAACTTACATCCAACCCACTTCTTACCTACTCCATAACTTTGGTTGTTGGTGGTTGGTGGTTATGTGCCATGACTTTGGTAAACCGCTCTGAATTGCAGTTTAGTTTCCTCAACTAACTATAAAATGTTGTGAAGATTAAAGATTATATAAAGTAGTTCCCACAACATGTAACATGCAATGTTCAGATGTTTGCTATTATCGATTTAATGGTGTCTTCTTTTTCTGTTTGTTTTAATATTTTGTTATTAGTATCACATTTTAAAAAAAATCATATCAAACATACACAAACTCTAAGACTTAAAAAACCTTTTTTGCAACTATTGTCAACAGTAACTAAACAGTAATAATGAACCCCACAGTCTAAAGTCTTATCTTTCAGATTTCTCCAGGATATATATCATTTCTTTTAATGGTCATCTTCTCATAATTGTGAGCAATTTACAGCCTTTACAGTACTCCCTTAAATGACATGTGTTTGGCTTGAATCTGCAGATGAAGCTACTAAATCTTTACATCAAACGTGCACAGACAGGTTCAGCAGGAGCTGATTCCACTGCTGATGTTTCTGGACAAAGTTAGTGAAGCTGATTGAAGTGAGCCGGGTCTCTCAAAGAAAGGACAGAAAGACCACACTCATCAATGAAAGGAAAATTTCAAATACATCTTTTAGAACTTACCATTGTTTCCCAGTTTTAGGTTTTTGTTTTGTTTTGTATTTTCTGTAACAGAGGGCTATCCTCAGTCTGCATGTAACTTTTATGATAGTTATCCCAAATTCAAGAAGAAGCAGTATTAACATCAGTTGATCAATACAAAGGAATTTTTAATCGAATTCATCATTTTACATGTTGTACTTCTCTGTCTTCCCATTAACCTTTGCCAGTGTTACAATTGCACAATTTTTTTTAAGTGCTGGTTAAACAGGAATGCTTAAAGCTTTAAAAGCTTAACAGTCTAAAACTTTTTTTTCCCTTATTCAACTGCAAAATAATTTTTTTTTTTTTTTTTTTTTTGCTACTTTGCGTTTTGTTCCGTATCATGTCCTATGCTAGAAATATTGAAATGATGTGAAAACAAACCAGGACTTATTTGAACTACAGCTGGACTCTGTTGTGTGATGGTGATATGTCATTAGTTGCAACTTTTTTGGGGTGATCTGCAGTTTGAAAATGAAGACCTCAAAAGGAATTGTAAAACTGTTGTTGTTTATTGGTTTTTGATCTTGCCATTTTTATTTAAAACCATCCTCCCTTCCATGATTCCTTAAGAAAGCTGCACCAAATCATCTGCCTGTTGTTTTGTTTTTGTTCCTGTTTTGTTTTTTTCTTGATACTTATAAAGATAGAAGGTTTTATTGCAGGTTTTTTTTGGTTTGTTTATCTAGGTTGTGAATGATGCTTTTTTATATTTATTAATCTCAAATTCACTTATAAATAAACTTGATAATGGAAACAGACAAAAAAAAAAAAAAAATCAAGTGCATGTGTGTCCTTGACAGTCTTCTGTTTCTCATTTAATCAACAAACTAATAATTAGACATGGGAGTCAACCGGCACCTTTGCTTTAAATGGTAGAACGTGGTTTCCTTTCACCATGAAATTGTCTTACTTGAAAATATTGATCCTGATGAGAGAGAAGATGGTGCCAGGGCAGTCTTTCTATAATGGGCTCAACTTCTCTACCTCTTCAGGGCTAATACTTCTGACTGAGCTGCTGCCTATAGTGTCTTTTGGAAAACTACTTAAAGGGTGATTTTTCTGTTATTCTTTAACAAATTTTCAATCACCTTTTGCTACACCTAATTTCTTCATCCTCAGCCAACTGTCAAAAATAATGAATTTTGCTAAAAGGCAAATTGGATTGATTTAGAACCAGGCTACTTAATGATTTCTCATCTTGACTTTTTCTTTTTCTTTTTTTTGCCTAACTTTTAAAAATCCTAACAAAGTGAACTTGACTGGAAAGGCAAATAGCTACGAGGGAAACAGTCTGCTGGTGTGGCAGTTATCTGTATTTTCTTTTTCTAATTGAAAAAAGTGTAGAAAATGTATTTAAAGAATTGAAGACAAGAATCCTGAATGAGTGGTTAGTTACTGGCTTTTACCTTTGTTTCTTTTCTAGCAGCAGGAAAAACATACACCCTCTTCCTTAACTGTAACAATTTTGTTTTCTACTGTTAATTATATGGTGTATTTATAGTTCTATGCTTACTGTTGTGCATATACTGGCAATAAAACTGTACATAACATTACTTGAAAAATGGATAATGTATATCAGCTGTTTTTCTGTCTCACAGTATATCAAAAAACTCATTTTAATAATTAGGGGGTTTTGTTTTTAACTTCAGAAGGTCTTGTATTGATGGTGTTCTATTAGGAATTTTTAAGTACATCTGAGGAGAAAAGATTTATCGGGAGTAACAATAATTTAAATGTATATAAATCTATTATCCTGTATATATTATAGCTTATCTTAAATAAGAAAAGAATTTTAAGCACTGAATTCTTCTCAGTAGTGTTTTATGTACCATAACTTTTCATATATTTTTAAATCTGTTTAAATCAAACTAATGGTTTAAAATTTAATTTTGATAAAACAGGTCTAAGGTCCTGTTTTAACTACTGTTGACAACGAAGTAGAGTGATTTAAGCTGAAAATACCTCTTTTTAATCATGGAAAAATTAGGTCAGGTTCCTGGCATCTAAAAGGAGACACTAAAGAAATTAATGTACTGAGTAACCAAAAAATATGGTCTAATGTGACTAAGTGTGAAAGCTAATATATAAAAACATGGGAAATTTTCTTGTTTCAAATGCTATAATTTCAGTTGATGAGACCGTAAGAAAGTTGTGATTATTAATCATTCAAATCACTATATTCCTTTAACTTAATCACTATATGCCTTTAGTTTGTTCATTCCAGAAACACTTAGCTGTGAGTTATTAAACAGTGGTCATGAAAGACTACCATCCAAATTTTGTTCTGCTTTTTCTCTCCTAAACCGTAGTATGATTCATTGACTGCGCTGTTCAAGATTGGTTAGAAGCATCTAAGACCCAGACCCTAAGACATGTTTGTTTCTCCTGGTTGTGCAAAATCTATTGTAATAGAGCCCTCTGACGTTTTAAAGTAAGATAGAGTTTGAATGTGCAGCTTCAACTTTGATTCCCTATGTTTCTCATATTCTTACAAACTTAAGATTAAATTTGCTTTTCCTATCAAGTTGTGTTGTATGGTAAAAGACTAGAATCTTATGATCAGATGAAATCTATTTGTGGATCTTTCGATTTTTTAGCTAAACTAATATTTATAAAAGATAAGGAATGAGAATTCATTTATTACCCCATAATGTATGAGTTTTTTTTACTTAATCTTTTATATCTTTGTTACCTGCATTGTTTTCAGTTCATTTTATTAGTTAATTAGTACTATTGTACAGCTTTTGAAAAGAAAGGTCTAGAATTCGGTGTAAAAACAGAGAAAAACTTTTAGTTAAAAATTTGTCTATTTTTATTGGGGAATATTTATAAAATAATGAAAAGCTAAAGTAGAAAAACAAAATTATTTCTAATATCTCTTGGCGGTAATTTGTGTTGGTGCTCTGTGGCATACTCAGTTAATAAATTTGACTTAACACTGACAACTGTAGGGAAACATTAAATCTTTTAACCAGAAGAGTGACAGGACTATAATTAACTAACATTTTGAATGTTTCAGTTCTTCTGTGCATGTATTTGATAATACACGTTTGATATATTCAGCCTTTGTCCTTATACAAGGTAACTTCTAATAGTATTTACCATATGTGTGCAACGTAATCCTGGGTTGATGTTCTTCACTACATACTCCTGTAACAAACAGCTACATATTTGCCACATATCCAGGTATATTGTACTGTTGTTGTTAAGTGTCATTGAGTCGATTCCAACTCACAAATGACCCAATATAGGGCTTCTAAGAGTGGCTGGTGGGCTTGAACTACTGACTGCAGTTACCAGAACAGAGCTTATCTTACAGTGCCACACCAGGACACTATATCATACTGTTGTTGTTAAGTGCTGTTGAGTCCGTTCTGACTTACAGTGACTCTGTATAGGGTTTCTGAGGAGCAACTGGTGAGTTTGAACCGCCAACTTTGGAATTCAAACCAGCCTTGTTAGCTCAGTGCTCATCCTATGGCGCCACTCCAGGACTCCTACTAGACTGTTTGAAGTTGCTACTTAAAGAAAGTCATGCCTATTTGAAGATACACTACTGGCTTAAATAGTTGGGTTTAAATTACTCTTGCAACTGTAATCTGAAATAGAATAGAGAATAAGATTTTCAGAATTTCAAGTTTACATGCAGTCATCCATGCTACAGATATGAGGAAATGCCAAAGAGACAAAGTAAAACAGCTAACTATAAAACTGTGTAGTTACTGATATGGTAGAAACAAAGGATACTGTGATGGGTGTTGGGTACAGAACAGTCATGGAAGGCTTCCCAGGAGACAGATGCTTAAACTTAATCTATAGGTTGAATGTGTGTGAGAAATAATAGAGATTATAGAGTAGAGAAATCAGAAGAAAGCAGAGGTAGCAAAGCAGAGATGTTTAAAATGGCAAGAAGCATGGGAGTATTTCATTGAAACTTTGTAAACCATGGATTCTTTTTGTAAAAATAAATGGCACACATTCTCCTCTCCCTGAAAAATCTGTAATAAGAAAATGAATCTGGACCCTTATAATGAAGATAATTCAAATAGGACTCTGGTTTGTATGTCAAAAATGTTTTCATAACATACTTTTCAACTTGCTTCCTTAACATACTTTTTCAAACTGAACCTTTCGCTTTGTGTCTCTCCAGCTGGTCACAACTTGACTTGGCTGAAACAGAATGACCCAAAATGGACTCATAGACATTCTAAGATACCTATTCTAAGATGAAGAGTTCACTGAAGACTTAAGTAGAAGAAAAACGTGATTAGAAATAACATCATGAACACTACAATGTTACATGATGTGTAAATTTCAGAAGTGAGATCTTTTTAGGCTTTGATTTTTGTAACGTAGGCCTCTACTAACTTATTGCTAATTTTCCTTTGTTCTCTTATTAATTAAATGTTTGAGCACCTTCTGTGCATCTGATACCCCTAAAATCTGTATGATGTAAATATGTAGTGGCTCTGGTCATGGGATAAAAGCATTAATGTGCCCTGAAGATTAGGAGGGGCCAGTCTGTAACAGGGTGAAAAGTGCCCCGTGGTGCTGCTCTCAGCACCACCCTGCCTTGCGTAGCTTTGAATGTATTCATTCTTAAGGCAGTAACTCACACCTTAAAAGGTGCCTATTGTATTTAAGGTGTGCAAAAAAGGAGATGGCTTGACAATAAGTTTTCTAATTTTAATCTAATTCAAATTTATTACATGAATTTTTGTCAAAAGTTTACGTTAGTTAGAAACTTAAAAATCAGGGTCACGTTACATGCTTTGCTTCTCCATGCTCTTAAAGTAGTGGTTCTCAACTGGGGATGATTTTACCCTCCAGGAGACATTTTTGGTTGTCACAACTGGAACAGGCTTCTAGTGGGAAGAAGCTAAGAATGCTTAGCTTATTCTATAATACCCAAGGCTGCCCCCCCTTCCCCCATAACAACACTAAATGTTAACAGTGCTGAGTTGATCATCTTCTCCTAAAGCAGATGGGTTTGCACGGACATATGCATTATTTAATTTCACCCCAATTATATAAGGCAGGTGGTAATTGTAGTATTGTTGTTGTTAAGTGACATTGAGTCAATTCCAACTCACAGCTACCCTGTATAGGATTTCCAAGGAACAGCTGGTGAGCTTGAACCACCGACCTTGCAGTTCAAACAACTTTGCAATCTAATGCATTAGCCCACAGCGCCACACCAGGACTCCAACTATAGTAATACCATCCCTGATTTACAGAAAAAGAAACTGAAAACTAGAGAAGTTAATTGATTTACCCAAAGTTAATGTAGCCTGGAGAGTAGGTTGTTGTATGTTGTTAAGTGCCATTGAGTTCGTATCAACCCATAGCGACCTATGCACAGCAGAACGAAACACTGCCCAATCCTGGGCCAACCTCACTACTGTTGCCATGCTTGAGTCCATTGATGCTGCCACTCGTTGGGGGTCTTCCTCTTTTCCT